ACTATTCCAAAAAATGGAAACCATGTTAGAGTTGTGGGAACCCGACCTCCTCAGTCTGCAAATGGGACCAAGGCTGGATTGTTAAGTGACCTGTGCGAGGCCGTGGCGCAGTCAGGGACTGAGGCTGGTGTGCCCAGGACTCCTTCCACTGCCCTCCTCTGCCCAGAGAACAGGAAATAAGAGACACAAAGCCATCTCTGCCTGCCTGCCAGGCTGCTCCCCTCTGAGCTGCATATTCTTGTACGCATCCTGCAGGCATCTTGGAAGGGCTGGCGGCCTCCCTGCCCTCTTTGCCAGACTCCGTGGCAGGCTGCAGTGGGAGGGGGTCCACTGCCCCATGTCCTGCAGGAGTTAATGGCAGTAGCTCCCAAGGCCAGGCCTCCTTCCTGTCTGCTCCTGCTCTGGGGCACATTGGGGATGCCGCTCTCCCAGCTGGGGGCCAGCCCCTCATGAACCCCTAAGTTCATGGTTTTAAGCCGTGTTTAAAAGCAGGGGTTCAAAAAAAAAAAAAGCAGGGGTTTAGGAGTCAGAGAGCCCTGGTTTCAAGTCTTGCCTCCTCCACTTCTTTCCTTTGTGACAATGGGTAAGTTATGTCCATTTGTGTCAACGTTGTCTTTATTGCTCCCCTTTGCTGGGTTTTCCAAGCCCTGGAGGTTAGTTCTAAGCAAGATAAATATGGCTTGGCTGTCATGGGCCTCACATCCTTCCTAGGGAGTCAGACTGTCAGCACATCAATAAGCAAATGCAAGGAGAGAATTTCCAGGAAGGGATATGTGTTTTGATGGAATGGGGAATGTGACCATGTTGGTGAGGCAGGGACTAGACACAGAGGTGGGGGACGAACTTGAGAGGTGGCAACAGATCTGAGACCTGCAGGAAGAGCAGGGAAAGTGTGCCATGCAGTGCGCATAGCAGTGCAAAGGTCCTGGGGCAAGAGTGGGCTTGGCCTGTTTGAGAAACAGAAAGATAGGGCTTCTTTATCTGGAAAAAATATGGCCAACAAAAATGTCTCTCTCCTTAGGGTTGTTTTGAAGACCAAAAGAGGTAAGTATAGAGAGCACTTGGTAGCTTGCCTGACAATAGATATTAGCTATTTGCATACTATTGTTCAAAGAATCCTGCTAGAGGGCATAGTCCAGCCTGAGTCCTGTCTCTGTGGAACACAGGCTCTTTTTCCTGTTTTTAGAAACAGCACTTGTTGTTCCCTCTTTCTGGAATGCACACCCACTCCTCCTCTCTCCCACCCCTGCCTGGCAAATCACTATTGATCCTGGAACCCTCAGCTGGAACCACAACGCTTCCTTCTCCACAGTCATGACCCTGGCCCAGCAGGTCACATCCTGTATGAGACCCTGCAGTGCCTTCCTGGGAGCTGACCAGGAGACCCAGACTACTAATCAGAAGGTTCTGGAAGGTCTTCCTGCACATTTCCCTTCCCCCAGCCATACCCATCGGGCCCTGTGGGTTCCGTGCACTCCCCCTGGGCCACCCTCTCCCTGCGCACATCTTTCAAGTTAGACCTCACACTTTACCTTCCCGACACCCCCTCTCTTTACCATACCTCTTAAACCCCTGTTCTCTCCTTCAAACGGGTATCTCGCATTGTGATTTGATTATCGACTCCTAATTCCTGCCTTCCCACCAAAGATGGAAAGTTCCAGAATAGGGGCTGCATCTGTTTGTTTCCCTACTAGGGCTGGGAACCTGCTCAATAAATATTTGCTGACAGATGGTCCCACCCTCTCCTGGTATTCTACTTGCTACTCAGTCCCGTTCTTGGCCTCCTTGCTGGCTCACCCCCCTCCTAGTTGGTCATTAGGCATTGTTGCTTCTCAAGGCTCAACCTTCCTCTCCTGTTAGCTCCCTCTGAAAGTGACAGTGCCCATGCCCACATGCCCACTGCCTCAGGTGGCCCCCTCATGCATACTTCTGGCCCCAGGGTCTCTGACTGTAGACCTGCCTACATCTCCAACGTCCCCCAACATCTCCTCCTGGACATTTCAAGGCACCTCAAACTCAGCACATCCCATGCTCAGCCAAGCTTGTTTCCCTGAACCTGAACTGATACAGGGCTCCCCTACTTGGGACACAGCAGTCATCAGGGGCAAAGATCTGTGTCAGTCTTGGGCACCCTCCCCTTCCTTATATCCACCCACCACCAGGTACTGCTGATTTCTCCCCAGAATATCACTCAACTCCACCGGTCTCTCCATCCCCCAGCCTGCCATGCCTTTGACCTGCACCCTGAGCAAGTTCTGAACATCTCCCTCCTTCCATCCTTGCTCCTTTTGTGTGCCCTCCAGGCAGCATCCCCAGTGTCATTTTAGAAAAGCAGACCTGACCTTGTCACTTTCTCCTACTTGCAACCCCTCAGGGGCTTCTCAGTGCTGTCTGAACAAAGCCCAGACCCCCTGACCAGCTCCGGTCTCCCTTCCCTGCAAGAACACTGAGTGTTGGGTAGGATGTGAACCCATCATGGGACGAGGGAAGGAAGCAGAGGAAGGAAAGAACAGATTCAGGGCTTTGACAGGGTGACCAGACCCACGTGCTGGAGTTCAGGGTCTAGGTCAGAGCCGCAGCTGGCCGATGGCAGAGCCGTGCTTTCAACAACCTCCCCATAGAATGGGGCTCGTCAGCAGTCTCTGTGTTTGTCCATGGAGGATGGTGTTCGGCTCCCTTTACCCTGACCTGGGGCAAGGACAACTGCCTGGGTCCTTTGTGACTCAGGTTCTCTACTCAACCTTAGCCGAGGCTTCTCCTTCTAATGCTGCTGACTCCCAGAGGCCTCCGGTGCTGGAAGCCCGCTGCAAAGGAGCATTTGCGTCTTTGCTGGAGGTCCCGTGGGATTTGGTCCCCTGCCCTGATGAGTGGACCTGGGCCCCCTCTGCTGCCTCCTTCCCTTTCCTGGTGAGACAGGGCACTTCTCCATGCTGCTGCCAGTCCTCCCAGTTTCCTCCAAGTACCAACCATAGTTCTTACCATGCCAGGGCCAAGCTGACTTGGCCACTATCTCTCTGGCCTCATCTCCACCAGGGGATGCTTTTTGCATTCCCTCTGTCCAGCTGCCCTGGCCACCCTGCTGCTCCTCAGACCCTGTGGGGACACCGCCCTCACACACTGTGCTGGAAACCACCTGTCCCCCTATAGCCTGTGGCTCCCTCTCTCCCCATCTCCAAGTGTTGGCTCAAAGGCCCAAGGGAGCCTTACCTGGCCTCCCAATCCACAGTCAGCCCACCCCCCACTCCTGCTGCATACACACACTTGTCATTCCCTCTTTTGACACTGTTTCCCCTGTCACACTTAGCACTGCGGAACAGCTGATCCTTTCCTACTTATTTAGCTTGTTTATGGTCCATCTGCCCAGAATGGAATGGGGGTTTCACAAAGGTAGGGATTTTGTCAGCTTTTTCACTTCTGGATCTGCAACATCTAGAACAGCACCCACCATTATAGAGATGAATGAGCTTGTTCTGTCTGGGCTTCTTTGGGTCGTGGGTGGCAAGCAAACACCCCTCTTCAAAGCCAGGGGTCTGTAAGCTTTTTGAAAGTCACCCCTTTCCTGTCTGTTCCACACTCAGTGAACCATGGAGGTTTCCTCTCCCCAAGTTGGCCCTCAGAATACTCATTGCTGGATCCTCAGGACTGGACTACCTTTCTGGGGCCTTTCTGGAATAAACCAAACGTCTGCACACTGATGGCCGTCATTATTCACCACCGATGCTCATTTATAATTACGATTATTATCCACCATATAAGGGTCCATTATTGGTCTGTAATTAACGCTGGAATGGCTGGCCTCCTGGGGACTGAGCTGACTGGAACCATGTGGGTCCATTCTCAGAGGCAGCCCCCGGGAACAGGAGCATGTTGGCTTGACCGAACGGCAGAGCCATTTAACAATTTTCTCCCTTTCTACTGGTTCTCACTTAAAGTGCTTAGAAGAGCAGAGGTGCAGGAAGAGGGCACCATGTCATCTGGAAGAGTGGTCTAGTAGTTATTCTAGCCCCGGGCCTGCCTAGGTGAGTTGGCGTGGCAGAGTAAGAGGTTGAAAATAAACAAGAGGGTTTGGTAGAGTCAGTCCTGACTGCTGTGGCTCAGGGCCAGGCCTGCCCCGGTAGTCTCCTGGGGCGACCCTACCCCTGGCAGTGGGCCCCCCACCATGTCACAGGCCAGCTCTCATCGGGGCATTTTCCTGGCCTTGTCCACAGACGGCCCAGCATTGGAGCTCAGAGCCCCTCAGAACTTGCCTACCCTGGCCCACAGCCTCCTGCTGGGCCTCGCACCAGCCCCTGCTTCTCACGGCTCTCTGGACATGTCTGACACAGATGTTTCCAGGGCTTAAGCTCAAGTTGCAGCCATGCTGCCCCTCAGTGCAGAGCAGCAGAACCCCTCCGGGGATGTCAGCCACACCAGTGTCATCATCGGACGATGCCAGGACAGGAGACGCCGGCTGCCGGGACCACGTGATCCAAGTACCAGCCCGAGGGGGGCCTGCTACTCAAACAGTTCTAGCTACTTCTCTAGCTGAGAACACCTGCGGCCGGCATCAATCAGCTGACACTCCGTCAGGTCAGACACAAGGATTTGCTGGACAGGAGGAGGCAGCGAGAGGGCAGGGCAGGACCTGAGCCTCAAAAGAACTTAGGTGTCAGCACACACGGAGGCTGTCCCAAAGCTCCTGCATCATCCCTCCCCAGGGCTGCCTGCTCCGGCCCCTTCTATCCCTCCGTCTGCCTCGTCTGCCTCAGAGTGAGCAGAAGAGCAGAATCCGTTCCCAGGGAGGCCGCTCTCCAGATAGATGTAAACCTTTGCAGGCCTGCACTCAAAAGCATGCCTGTGGCAACTCAGCCCACAGCGGCAGCGGCTTCCTGACGAGAGTTAAACCAGTCCCACAGGCAAAGAGGTAACACCGTCTCCCCACTATGTTCCTCTTGGGCCAATCCGAAAAGCGATAATTGAGACAAGCAATAGGGGATTAACTAGAAAAGTTGCCAAAATACCTAGTTTTCCTCGTTTTCCAGTTGCTCCTTTTTCTCCTTTTGGGCCCTGGGGACCAGGCTGTCCATCTGATCCATTGTGTCCTGGAAGCCCACCGACTCCTGGAGGTCCTGCGTCAAAACACAGGAAACAAGACCATCTTAAAAAATCGTCACTGAGCTCAATATGATCTGCTTTAGCCAGTGAAACTGGATGGGCATCAGTGCCTTTCCCAGATCTTCTCTTCCCACTTCCCTTCCTTTTCCACCTTTGCTTTCCCCCCAACCCCCTTGCAGTGACAGCAAGGGAATGGTAATGGCAGGTTCTTGAGTGGGAGGGGACAGAAGAGCTCCGTGATTTGGGTAGAGACAAGGAGGGGGACACACTCATGTTCTTCCCCCTTTCCCGCCTCCATCCCTTCTGAGCCATCTGCGGAACTAGTCCCCCCATTCCCCAGGAAGTGGGAAAATCCATGGGCTCTTACCTGGTGGGCCAGGGGGTCCTACAACAAAAAAACAAATTTAGATGATAAAGCATGGCTGGAAGAAAGTGAAGCCAGCACCACAACCCCCAAATTAAAGGGTACCTTCCCCTCCTAATAATTACTAACCATCTACTGGCCCTAAGCAACCACTCCATGCCTTTTATTAAGAACTCAGCATATGCACTCAAAAGATCCTTGAAAGCAATTCAACAATTTGCCAGTCAAACCCACTTTTGCTTAGGTTTCAATGGACTAAGAATAATTTCTGAGTGGGCTTCACCATAGATTCGTACGTCAGTCATCTCTCAAGCAGTCAGCTTCATTAAATGAGGCTTGGTAAGAACGCAGGAGGGCGCTAGTGCAGCCCGGGCCCAGGTAAGCATCGGGAAATGGTGGTGCTGTCATTGCAGGGCTGAGATCTGGCTGTCATGAGAAAGCAGTCCCAAGGGCTCTCATCCAGCCAGCACGTTTCCTCCAGGCCACCTAGGGCAACTGAGAGCAGAACTAGTTCTCAGGTCTCTACTCTGTTGCACGAAATAGCCTGGGAACAATTGAGGGCCCAGATCAGGTAACAAACATCTTGCTTAGTGTGTAATTACCTGAGGATCTAAGGGGTTCAGATGAACCATTTACACATAATCCAACAAAACAATTTTGCTTCCACAAATAGGAGAGTCTCATTGTCAATTATTTTATTTAAGTACTCGGAGAAGCCAATGGGCTTATAACATGAGCGGCTGAGGTCCTTCTGTTTTTCCAGAACATATATGATGATTACCCATATTGGAGTAGAAAGCCTATGACTTTTCATAAAACTGCCATTTACTAAGCACTTCCTGTGTCTAGCACTAAAGTCTACCAGGCAGCAGAAATCTTGGTCCCCGTATCTCCGGTGTTTACAATCTAGCTGGAAACCACAATGAAACACGAGGGAGGGAGTTATAGAAAAGCAGTCCCTCCAAGGACTACTGTGGTAGTTTGGCACATGGCAGTCTGAGAAGGTTTCCAGAGCGTGTGAGGTTTGAGCTATGGTGCTGAAGAAACAATGGGCCTGGCACAGCCATGGGGGTGAGGGCTGGGCAGCTCAGGTCGGGGACCAGCAGGAACAAAGACAGGGGGTGGAAACTTGCATGATTCAGAGAGAGTGAAAGGAGGAAGACTGGCCAACCTGGTGTGTGTAGAGATGAGGCTGAGTCAGTACTTGGCGGGGTGGGTGTGGGGCATTTGAACACCAAAAGGAGAGGTGTAGGTGGTATCTGCAAGGCAGTGGGGAGCTACAGTAGGTCTTAATTGGGGGATGATACCATGAAATCAGTGTGTTTTTGAAATCCTCTCTGTAGATGGAAGTTGTATACAACTGGGGAAAAAGAAGAGAGAGAGAAAGGGAGGTGGGGTGGGGAGAAAACACCCAGAAGACCTTTGTAGTTAAAATGAGGGGCAAGGTTGTAGACAAACTGGTTGGTAACTGTAGAGTTGTAGAGAAAGCTAGAAATTCAAGAGGTATTTCAGCAGAAGAATGAGCAGGGCTCCATGTCTGACTGGGTAGGGGCAAGAGAGGAGGACTCTCAGATGATGGGAACTGAGGATATGGATGGAAAGAGAATGACGACTCTTGGAAGAAGTGTTTGGATGTATTCTTTCTATACATGCAGTCCCATTTTGGGCAAAAATGATTTGGTGAAAATGATACCACATTTTCTAGGGCCACTGTAGTCTGTGGCAACACGATTTTACCCCCAGATGGCACATGCTTGTACACATGTAAGGAGGTGATGGGAAGAGCTGACAGATGGCAGAAGAAATCAGTCATCATTCCTGACTACAGATGGAACTAAATTCATATGTGTAGATTGGATAAAAGGTCACCAAGCAGGAATCAGTTGTCTATATAGGTTTCAAGAGTCCTCAAGATAGTCCAATAACCATTTCTATGCAGCAGGAGTATTGGGGAGAGGTCCTGGCTAGAGCTGTATATTTAGGACACTTTGGTCATGGCCAAGAATGTTGCTATGGAGAAATGTTTAGATTAGGATTTCCTGACATTGACCTGAGGATCATTGACACCTATGGTTATAGTTCTCAGTCATCTGAGTCCATAGAATCACCTAGAATGCTTGTTAAAATACAGCTACCCAGACCCAAGCTGGAGAATCTAATTCAGTTTACATTTAGAGTGGGGCCCAGGAAAGTGCTTTTTCACCAGGCACCACAGGTGACTGGGAAGCAGGTGGTCCTGGGGAATCCCGACCAGATGCGAAACGTCTCTGGAAAAAGAATCAGTCACTATCAACAGAGTCCGAAAGGGGTCCCTGACCCTAGAAAGCCTGAGAGCTATTAGTCTGGGGGCAAGAGTAAAATGTTGAGCCAAACTGTGGGATGGAGAGAGGGGGGTACATACACCACATCTGGAGGGAGGTGGGTGATAGAAGAGGCACCAGGAAAGAAAGACTGAACCAAAGGTACAGGAGGGAATCCAGGAGGTCCTGAGCCCTGAACCTAATGCAGAAGAGAATTTCAGAAGAGAAAGGAGACAAACACTTCCAAAGAACCCAGAAGCAGAGTGCTATAGTGATGGTGAGCCTGTATCCTGACACCCACTCGGGATGCCTACAGAGCTGCCCAAAGGCTGCTTACACCTGGAAGAAGCCCCAAATATGTGTCATTATACTAATGTCAAATCTCAAATAGTATGTGCCAAATGGGTCTTGAGAAAACTGTTTATCAGGATGTTTTCTCAGCTCTTGACTCTTCTCTTCTTGAATAACAGAAACCCTGGGGATACATGTGGATAGCCAAGTTCATGTTAGCACTGTATGCAGGGCTGGAGCGATGGGACAATGGAGAATGTCTCTGGGACTTGGAGACTTGGTTCACATGTGGTCCTGCCTCCCACTGTTTCCCTGTTTCCCACTGCCTCCTGGCTTCCTCAGGACAAGTTTTCTGCTGCCTCCCAAGATTCTGATGCGTCTGCCCCATTCCCCACCCGGTTAGAGACAGCTGCCACCTTCCACACGGAAGGGGGCCTGGGCCCTACATGTGTCCTACATGCCTTTGTCACAGAGTGGGGTCTCCTGTGCTTGTGAGGGCCTGTACCGTTTCTGTGAGCATCCCTCACCTTGAGGAGTATGACACTAAATAGCAAATAAAAAGCCCCACCATGGCAGGTAGAGAGTAAAACCATTAAAGAAAGGAGGAAACCCTTTTCCTGATTTTTGAAGAAGGCGCCCTGAATTTTCATTACCGCAGAGGGCTCAGACTGCCCCAACCCACATTCCTAACCAGAATCGGTGAGAAGTGGGTGGATGCTGGAGGAGCTGAGCCGCTTAGAGTTTTTTTCTCCTTGAAATCTAAGACTGACCCACAGTGGCCTCAGTTATGTAAACCGGAGGTCTGTGGATGGTCTTGCAAGGCGAAACAATGCCCCTCTGCTGAGAGAGATCAGAGAGGAGTGGTGGTGACTGGCATTGACATGACAGAACCACAAGATGGCAATACTGGGATCCCGGAGTCCCCAGAACCAACTTGGAGTGTCCGGACTTTGTGGAGAAAAAAAGCCTTTGCTGGGTTATGCCACTGAGATTTTATGGTTTAATCACTACCATAAGTCCTAACCTACCTTGACAAATACATCCCTCTGTCCTTACAATAACTGGTAACTTCTTGGCTTCTCCCCCATCACCCTCGGATAAGCTCTGCTGCTAGCAAAGAGAAGGATTTCAATGTAGACAAGAAACACAGGCACGACAGTTATGAGGAAGGAATGACCAGGTTTCCCGAAGCCTCAGCAATAGTGGAACACAAAGAAGCCCCCAAATAAAAATCCAAATAGAAACATGTCAGAAAGGGAGGTCTGGTTCAGTCGCTAAGCCTGATAAAGCCAGGCCTGGCGCCTGTGGGGCCTCTGGCCCTGATTCTCTTCCTCTCCTGTTCCCAGCAGGGACTCCCCAGGGCTTGGGATTCAGCCAGCCAAGTCTTCAGGGCCAGACGGGAGCTCTAGCCAAAGGGAGTGTGGCTCCCCTTTCCCCTGGGAGTCAGGAGTACTTGGCTGTCCTTCAGGGATGGCCTGAGAGGGCCCTAGTTCTCGCATGTGGAACTGGAACTTACCAACTAGAACAACAGGCTAGTGGCTCAGTGAGGCCGGCTGAGCGAGAGCATGAGCAAACACCAGCTGTGCCTGAGAACAGCCTGTCAGTTTACCAGCGTTGCCCTGGCCACAGCTCGGAGGCCTCAGGACCCAGCCTGTGTGCGACGGTACACCCTTTGCGGCTGCCCCTGCCACCAACCGCTGGGCCAGTCTCAGGCCACCTAACTTGGAAAGGCATCTTTCCTCCCATGTCTCCGCTAAACTGCGGCTTTGGTCCGATCCCATCTGTTTGGTGCATTTCAACTTTGGACCATGGCATGGCAACCTTCAAGATTTAGAGTAGGGATGGCCAATAGATTTTATTTCAAGTGCCAGTTCTCATCCGTCAGTACAGATTTCTGGAAGGCCAGAAAAGAATGACATGAGGCCAGGCTCCGTGGCATCTGGGATCCCTTCTCCGTGTCTGCCGGGGTATAGGGTAAGGATCCGTAAGGAGAGCCATCACTGGGTTGGAGCCCCTTGGCCATAAGGAGAATGGGCAATGTGGATTTGAAGCGCCTCTGCCCAGATAAGCAGGTCAGTAATGTCATAGTTGTGAGATTTTCAAAAAAAGCCTATGCTCTGAGTCCACTGGAAGTGAAGAACCCAAGAAACTGCCTTCTTCAAGGCGCCTGCTTTTCCAGAAAATATGTTTCTGGGATCAGGAAATCTGGGCTTTGGGATGGGATGCATCCAGAAAAGCACGCCATTTATACTCAAAAGCACAAAATGTGCACTAACAAAACCCTTACCTGCTCTAGCTCCTGAACTGCCCTCACTATTTGCCTGATGGTTACCGGCTGCATACATCTGTCCTTGTCCCCAGAGCATTGACAGCTGCCTCCAGAAAAGGGAACAGGGATGGGGTTTCGCAGTCCCACTTAGACTAGCCTCGAGTCACAGTGCCTGCTTTTTCAAAGCTGAGTCCCATGTAAAGCTGGATCTTGTTCTCAGGCCTCAGGCCTCAAGCCCGGGGTCCACTCTGGCAGCCGCTCCTGCCAGTATCTTCTTGGGGCTCTGGACCAAGGCTCTCTGCCCTTCCCCCTGTAGCTGCCAATGCAGTCCTGGATCCTGTCACCTTTCTGCCCCCTGACCAGACAGCGTGGTCTGTCCCAAGATAAAACCTCGCTTGGCAACTTGTACGTTTCATACCTAAGTTTTAATTGAAGAGCCTTCTGTGTTAAAAGGGGGCTCAGTTTCAAGCTGGCATGAAAGGAGAAGGTGCTGGCTTTTGAAAAGATTTCGAGGTACCAAAGAATAACTTCCTCAACCCATTTCCAGCACAGATGCGATCCCCACCCCCCACCCCTCATCTTCCCTAAGTGGTCTCGACAGCTCCACCAGCATTCACTGAACAGCCCGGCTCTCCTTCTAGCACTTCTATAATAAATATCAAAAAGGAGGAGGCTTTTCCTGTGCCTTTCAACAGGACTTTTGTGCCTGTAATTCCATCCATCTGAGCATTTCTCTAGTGCTCGTTACTGTCACATGAGGAACTCTGAAAAGGACTTTCAAAGATGAAAGAAAGGTGCGTAAGACACAAGAGTTTCAGAATGAAGGACCAAGCTGTTCTGAAGAGATTTAATTTTCTTTGAGGGTCGAAATGTGACTTGAGTAATTCAATTAGCATTTCCCAAGAAGCCACAGGATTATAGCTTTTCTCGCTAAAACTAAACTAAGCAAACAAGAGGCAGACTTGGACCCAAGGTTCTTCAGGGAAATGTCTTTTTCACCAGCCCACTGCCCCCAATTTAATCACTTCCATAAACCATCGGTTTAGTCGTTCACCAAACTTGCACTGAGCTCCCAGTGCAGGGCAGGTCATGGGCGGTCATGGGGAGAACGCTGGCATGCAGGACGGGGTTTCTCACGGCTGGATGCACACTGTAGGGTTTCTCAACCTCCACCAGTGTGCCCTGTCCGTGGGACACCCCCACGGCCTGAGGGCAGACACAGAGAAGGATCAACAGAAGCTTCATCAGGCTTCAAAGTCTTCTGGTTACGTTTTAAAGTTCATGAGAGCTGTGTATTTACTCCATAGTAGACTTTTAATGCAAAAAATCATTCCCCCATTTCCTCAGAATGGGGGAGAGGATGGAAATAGCTGTGTCTGATATCAGGCTCCGTAGGCCCATCCTTGGGCCTGGCCAGAGCCTTCCTTGGTCTAGGGTAAAACAAATTAGGTGAGCTATCTGGGGTCTGTGTTCTTCCTTGCCCCAAGCTTCTGAAGGCAGGAGGCAAGCACTCCCTGACCCAGGCAGGAGGCAGGCACTTCATCTCAAGCAGGAATCAAGCACCCAGCTCCCCTCAGGCAGAAATCAGGTACTTCCCTCAGGCAGGAGACAGGAGGCAGGCACCCCCCACCACCTCAGGCAGGAATCAGGCACTCCCCCTTCAGACAGGAATCAGGCACCCCCCCACCTCTAGCAGGAGGCAGGACACCTAGGTTCAGGTGTACATTGTCTATCAACAGCACGCTCCTCCTCCCCCACCCAACCCATTAGCCATGCTGTGTCCCTTGGCTTGTTGTGCCTCCTTGTTGATTCCCTCCCTCTTATTTATTTGTCCTTGATTTCCTGAGTGGAGGAGAGCTGTGACATAACCCCCCATCTCACCTAGCACACAGTAGACACCACACACAGAGCACTCTTCATAATGTTTTCTTGACTAATTAGCAGTTTGCTTCTAGAACTTCCTGTTCATGCCATATGTATAAGGAAACAATTACTTCTGATAAGGGAATACCCCTTCTTTTTCTCTTTTAAAAAGTCATGTGAATAAGGAAAACATCTATGGCCCCATTTCAAGGTACCACACGTTTCTAATTATCCAAGACCTAGTTATTTTTCATGGCTATATTTCTATGGTAATACCAAAAATATTATTTTTCATAATTATATTTCAATTGATACTGAGCTCATTAAAAACATCTGGTAAGGGGCGCCTGGGTGGCTCAGTGTGTTGAGCCTCTGCCTTCGGCTCGGGTCATGATCTCAGGGTCCTGGGATCGAGCCCTGCATAGGGCTCTGTGCTCAGCAGGGAGCCTCCTTCCCCCTCTCTCTCTGCCTACCTCTCTGGCTACTTGTGATCTCTCTCTCTTTGTCTGTCAAATAAATAAATAAAATCTTTTTTAAAAATCTGGTAAAAGTAAACCAACATGTGTTTTTATAACCCTTAGTGTTCCTAGGTATTCATTCTGCCCTGACCCTTTGGTGAGCCCACGTATGTGCAGTGTGAACCCCTCTCGCTCAGTGCCAGGCCCGCCTACCTGTGAGGCAGATGCCCTTGGTGCTGTTGCAGAGGTCCACCATCACTCGGATCTGCAGGGAGAGAGGGTAGTTAATAGCACCACAGAATACAGTGGGCCCCGAACTTGACCTTCACCCGGACGAAAGCAGTTATAAGGATTCACAAAGTAACCTCAACAGAACATGCCGAAGTTTGAAGAAAAGTTAACCTCAACTGAAAAAGAAACTCTTAAAAGACCTAGTGATATATGATAATAGAAGCTCATCTACTAATATCGTCCATCAAATCTCCTTGATTTCTCTCCAGCTCTGAGAAGAGAGGATGGTAAAGGAATTGCTAAATCCAATTTTCAAGGCTGTCATGAGTCAGCCCTCCAGCATCTGAAGGACTCAATCTGCGTGGGGGTTGAGTAAAGAGGGAAGGGTTTGTGATTGGGAGTTAGCACCCACTAGCTGGGCGAGCACAGGCAAGGTACTTAACCTCCAGGCGCTTTGGTTTCCTTTGAAAAGTGTAAATACTATAAGCACCTGTCTTGAGTTCTGTCCCCGGTACACAAATGCTGCCCCAGATGGCAGTCATTCTCGTGCCTTGTGGGTATAGCCTACTCATCACTGGATGGCCGCCTGTGGTAGGCGGACCCTGCAGCATGGTCTGAGCCCGGGGTCTGGTCTCCCCACACCCATTCTGCAGCCCCTCCCCCTCTCCACTCTCCATGCTGCTCCCAGGGAACTTCACAAAAACCAAACCTGAGCGGGTGAGCCCTGATTTACATACTGTTGTGACTCCTTGCTGCTCTAAAGACACAGAACAAAATTCCTCCTTCTCTGGACTCATCTCACCACTCCCCTTTCTCTTTCTAACTTCCAGCTGTGCTCTGCCTCAGTTTGCTCATCTCGAAATGGAGATAGGAATAGTGCTTACATCTGAGGATTGTTGTGAAGAGCAAGTGAAATCATTTTATGTGAAGTTCTTAGAACAATCTGGGAAGCACACTCAAGAGTATCTTCCACCCAGTGGAGGTAATAAAGAGTGTTGACAGAAGCATGGATTCTGAGGTCAACCTGCCTATGTTCAAATCGTGGCTTTGCCACTGACAAACAGTGTGATCGGAGGGCAGTTCCGTGACCTTTCTGTGCTTCCGTGTTTTTATCTGTAAATGAAGCTAACAGCACCTACCTTATACCATGGTTGTGTGTATTAAATGAGCAAGTACATGCAACTCACTCAGAGCAGGAACTAGCACATAGTAAGCACACGCTATGTATGCTATTGTGTTAGATGGTTCCCTAAATATGCCAGGAATGACTGAGTTAATTCATAAATTTACCATCCAATTGTTTTCAACTTATAGATTCAGTAATTTTTAGACCCCAATGAGACATTTCAAAACTGTGCAGAGAACTTATTAAGAAATGGATTTGAGGGGCACCTGGGTGGCTCAGTGGGTTAAAGCCTCTGCCTTCGGCTCAGGTCATGATCCCAGGATCCTGGGATCGAGCCCCACATCGGGTTCTCTGCTCAGCAGGGACCCTGCTTCCCCCTCTCTGCTTGCCTCTCTGCCTACTTGTGATCTCTCTGTCAAATAAATAAAATAATAAATAAATAAATAAATAAATAAATGGATTTGAGACAGCAGGTTAGACATCGGGGGAAAAACAAAATGTTGAATCCTTACTTCGCTCCTTACACTAAATAAGTCCATTAAGCGATATCGATAAAAGAGTTAAAAGTGAAAAATAAACTTAGATAAAACACTGGAAGAAAACCTGGGGGAAAAATTCATACTGGCATTAGAGTAGGAAAGACTATTCCAAGAAAGAAACAACCCCCATACTATATAGGAAGAATGTATTAATTTGACTAATAATTTAAAATTTTTGCAAAAGGTGAAATACTACAAGCCAATAACAAATGAGAACCGTAGACCTTGAAAAACAACTGTGAAAGGCTAGTATCTAAAGAGCTCTTACAAACCAATAAGGAACAAGAAACCAGAAGAAAAATGGACAATAGGCCCAAACAGAAACTTCAGAGAAAAGCAAAAGGATGCGTCATTTTCACTTACAGTTAAAGAAATACATTCAAATGATGAAATGTTATTTCCCACCTCTTCGATTTGTTAATAAAAAGACTAACAGATTATCATGGGAGCAGCTGGAAAGCCACTCTCTCGTCCTGCTGATCAAGTGAAGGCATACTATCCCACTGGAGGGCATTTTGGCAATAACTACTAAAATGTAAGTGGGTCTACCTTCTGATCCATCAATTGCACTTTGGGAATAGTCTTCAGGTATATTCAAATATGCGTGAGGAGAGAGAAGTACAAAGACAGTCATTGCAGAAATGTGGACGAGAGCAAAAACAAACTCCATATTTATCAGAGGGTCCTATGGAATGAAGGGCAGCATAACCACAGCATGCAATTCAGTGAAAAAGAATAAATTTAAATCTGTAAGAATGACACTGAAATATCTCCAAGATAAATGGAAAAAAAAAAAAAAGGCAAAGTACCGAGCAGCATGTGTAATGGCCTCTCATTTACGTAAAAAAAAAAAAAAAAAAAAAGAAAGAAAGAAAAAAAGTACTGTGCACACAAATATTTCTATATGCTTCTCTCTTGTTGCTTTCAAGATTCTGTTTTTGGCTTTCCAGAGTATTTATGAAAGAAACCTAAAAAGCCTCAAGGGTGGGGCAGGGATGGAGGACCAGGGTGGGAGGAGGCCATAGGAAACATGATACGCCCTTTTGTTTCATTGGAAATTTTCACTGATCATTCTTTGAGTTAAACTCTATTTTAAAAGAACATGTTTTGATCGGAGGGGAAAGACTGTTTTGCCTTCCACCTAGGCTTAGTCTGTTTGCTAGGAGATCCAGCTGAAAACTCATACCGCGTCTACTTTGTCAAGTGTATCTATAGATAGTTATTGACGGCTTTAGAAATGTATTGTGAAACATACATCTCACAAATAGAGCAAATGCGCACCATTTAAAGACGAATCGTAAAACAAACATGTATATCCCGCACCCACTCCCCACCTCCCTCAACCCCCCACCCCCGGAAAAAAACTGGAGGTGCTTCTTCCTGTAACACCCCAGCCCCATCAGCTGTGAGACAAAGTGTATTGTGTGGTGTTCCTCTCTCTTTCATACAAGTAAGAACACAGAGGCATAGAGAAGTGACATCGTGTACTCAAGGTCATATCACTTGCTGGGATCAGAGCTGGCCTCAACTTCTGATGCCAGGTCTACTGTGCTTTCAATTATTGCTCTGATGATTCCCTCAACAGAACCAGACAGAAGAAATTTCGACTCGCTATTTTTAGTCATTTTCATAAATGAATGTAATCAGCTGCACTATGGACAAGATTTTTTATCTTAAAAAATGTATAATTGCCCATTGAGAGAACCATTAAAGACTTCACAATGCTTCATTTGTTGCCTGGGGGATCACAGCAGAGGGAGTAGTTTGAAACAACAGAAGCATCAATAGGGAAAATTAGCCTTTCTCTTTCCTTCTCATCACCGGTCTGGGGTAGGCACAGCGTCTATAAAAGACGATGAAGAAAGAATTTTCATTTCCGACCTTTTGGCTCCATTTATATGCTAAATGTCCATTTAGCTATTTACCAGTAAATTGTGTTAATGTTCATGCAGAAATAGTCCTTGAACAGACTTGGGCTATATAAGGTTGTGGTGGGGGAAATATAGGGAATGAAAAGTTGTGGCCATAGAAAGTCAGAAGCTGTCTTTCTGATAGTGATTAAGAGCTTGGATCAGAATAAAAGAACTCAAAATGGGTTGTCACACAACCTAGGTTGTCAAATTATGGAATCACATTTGGCATAGAGAGCTTTCTAAATCTTAATTTAGGACTTAAGAATGGTGAAGCTGGAAGAGGCCTTCCAGCTCACTGTCCTGGGGGTGTCAGGCACAGTCGGTCCAAGATGTAGCCCTGCTCCCCCACAGAGTCCAGCTGCTGCCACTTTCCCCGTCACTCTGCTCCAGTCGTACTGACCGTTGTCTCTGGTCCTTGCTGCGCCTGTAGGCAGTGCTCACATCTTTACTGAGAACTCAGCTCAAATGTCACCGCATCAGGAACACTTTCCCTGACTCCCCAGCTGAAAATACCCCTAGCGGCCACTCTCCATCACCTCACCCGGCTTGTTTTCTCTGTAACGCTCATCACTATCCAATATTATCTTACTAATGTCTGCTTTTATTTATTATCCACTCCTGCCTCCCAAAGAATGGAAGAATTTTGAGAGAATTTGCTGTTTTGTCTCTATCCCTTGAGTATAAAATAGTGCCTGCTTCCAGACCTAGAACTTTTCCACTGGGGAGATACATTTCAAGTAAAAAAGTAAGTCAGTGGTCTTGAAGGGAGATCTTACTTGACAGAAGTTGACAATAAATTGCTAACCTGGGTTTATGACGTGAGAATTTGATGGCATTGGGAGGAGGATGGGTGAGATGCAGAAAAAGCTCCATAACAGTTGTGGGAAGGCCCACCCCAACCCACGGACACTATCTGGAGGACACATTTTATGGGAACAAATGGCTGTCACCCTCAGAGCAATATAAAGAATGGCACCCCTGAGTGCTCAGGCTTAGTGCACCCTTGGTCAACATGTCAACGGGGTGGAATCACCTCCCCAGAAGAGACACCATGGCCTGTCGGGGATATCTCCCGAATGGGAAGATCAATACAGTAACAGAGAGGGACACGTTGTATGGGGACTTGTTCTTAGCAGTGACAACGTGTGGGTCATGGGAGAAAAGACAGCCAAAAATGGGAGGAAGGGTCTTGGGTTCCTCACCATGACTGTTCTTGGCTTTGCTTGAGAAAGAATTCAAGAACAATCCATTTAGAAGAAGGATCAAAGGTTTATCAAGTAGAGAAGTAAGAAAGGAGCTACTTCACAAAGCTGGGCATGGAGCCTCTTAAGAGTCTCTCTCCCTGTGCCCCTCCCCACCTCTCCCTTCCTTGAAAAAAAAAAAAAAGAAAGGAAAAAATGTATCAGCAGAATATCAAAGTGGCTTCTATCTTTGGAAGCTAAGTTGAAGACCTCCT